TTAAAAAAAAAAAAAAAAAAAAAAAAAAAAAAAAAAAAAAAGAAGAAAAAATATTATTTATTGGTGGTGCTATTGCTAATTTTACGTCTGTTTATGATACATTTAAGGGAATAAATAAGGCAATAAAAGAATATTCTTATTTATTAATAAAAAATAATATAAATATATATATAAGAAGAGGAGGACCTAATTATATACAAGGTATACAATTAATACAATATACAGCTAATAAATATAAATTAAATATTTACTTTTATGGTCCTGATACATATATGACGGCTATTATACCTATAGCATTAAAAAACTTTAAGAAAGAAGGACAGGAGGAAGAGGAAGGGGAGGAGGAGGAGGAGGAGAAGGAGGGAGGAGAAAGGGGGAGCAGCAGCAGCAGCAGCAGCAGCAGCAAGAAGAAGAAGAAGAAGAGGAATATTCTATGGGGAGGAGATAAGGAGTATAGGGAACCAGAAGAAGAAGAAGAAGAAGAAGAAGATGATGATGATGATGATGATGATATACTTATTAATAATAATTATTATAGCAACAGCAGCAGCAGCAGCAGCAGCAGCAGCAGCAGCAGTAGCAGTAGGTGTATAGATAAGGAAATAGATATAAATAATATAAAAAGTACACCTTATTATGAATATTGTATTAAACCTTTTGATCTAAGATATACACATCAGCAACAATTACAACAATTATTACATAATAATAATAATAACAGCAGCAGCAGCAGCAGCAGCAGCAGCAGCAGCAGCAGCAGCAGTAGTAGTAGTAATAATGTACCAACAACCAATACAACAAATAGTACTAATGATACAACAACAACAAACAGTACAACAGACCCAACAACAACACCAGCAGCAGCAGCAGCAGCAGCAGCAACAAACAACAACAGCAGCAGCAACAGCAGCAGCAGCAACAGCAGCAGCAGCAGCAGCAATATAGATTGGGGAAGAATATATGATGAATATGAATGTTTATTGAATAGGAATAGTAAATGTATAGTATGGGGATATAAGGAGAAAGTTATACAAGAAATGCTAGATTATGATTATATTATTAATAAAGAATTACCTAGTATAGGGGCAATAATACATAATATAAATATAAATAATAATAATATAAATAATAATATAAATATAAATAATATAAATATAAATAATAATATAAATAAAAAAATAAATAAAAAAAAAGAAGAAATAAAAAAAGAAATAAAAAATAAATATAAATATATTAATTTTTTTTATGGTAATAAGGAGATATTTATTCCTTTATGTTATTCAATTAAGCATGCATTATTTATTTGTTTATTTAATTATAATTATTATAATCCTTTTTATTATAATTATAATTTATATGATGAATTATATATAGATAATTATTTATATAATTATATAAATAATTATTATATAAATATAAATAATATACAATATAATATAGATAATATAAATAATATAGATATAGATATAAATAAGGAAATAAATAAGGAAAAAAAAAAAGAAGAAAAAAATAATAATAATAATAATAATATATTAATTAATAAGAATAAAGTATATAATAATATAATATTATTAAATTTTGCATCTATGCGGTCTGCTGCTGCTGTATGCATGCATGCATGCAAATATGATTGTATAAAATGTATACATATATTAGCTGAGGGTATACCAGAGAGAGCAGCACGTAATATAGCAGCAGCAGCAGCAGCAGCAACAGCAGCAAGAGCAGCAAAAGCAGCAAAATATGCAATATTATCCTTAGAGAGAGAAAAAAAAGGTGAATATATAAAAGAAGAAGAGAAGGAAGCAGCAGCAGCAGCAGCAGCAGCAAAAATAAATGATTTATGTATATTAGGTCCTAGTAGTATAGGAGGAATAAGAGGAGGATGTATAAGATTAGGTAATACAGGAGGATTAATAGAGAATATTATTAATAATAATTTATATAATAAAGGAATAATAGGGGTAATAACTAGATCAGGAGGAATGCTTAATGAATTAAATAATATAATAAATAAATATATAAATATAAATAATAATAATAAAAAAGAGACAAATATTGTCTCCTCCCCTATATGCGAATGTATAGCTATAGGAGGAGACACTTATCCTTGTTCCTCCTTATTATACCATCTATGTAGGTATAATAAGGATCCTTATATAAGGATAATAATAATAATAGGGGAGGTAGGAGGAGAAGAAGAATATAATATAATAAATAATATAAATAATAATAAATTAATAATAAATAAACCTATTATTGCTTGGGTAATTGGTGGATCTGCTTCTTATCTACAAAAGGAGACACTTGTCTCCTTTGGTCATGCAGGAGCAGCAGCTGTATCCTCTATACATAATAAACAATCAGCAGCAGCAAAGAATGCTGCTCTTGCTGCTGCAGGTATAATTGTCCCTTCTTCCTTTAATACATTAGGAGACACAATAAGAAAAGTATATAACAAGGTAATAAAAAAAATCAGCAGCAACAGCAGCAGCAGCAGCAGCAGCAGCAGCAGCAGCAGCAGGAGCAGGAGGATAAGTATGAGTATGAGGGGACTGTCTCCTCCTCTTATACCATTAGATTATATACATGCAAGGGAATTAGGACTAATAAGGAAGAAGACATCATTTATAAGTACAATAACAGAGGAAAGAGGAGAAGATTTATTATATAATGGATATAGTATAGAGGAGATAATAAATAAGGATATAGGTATAGGGGGATTAATATGTCTCTTATGGTTTAGGAGACAATTGTCTCCTTATTGTTATAAATACATAGAAATAATCCTTATAATAGCAGCAGATCATGGTCCCTGTGTATGCGGTACATTTAATAGTATAATTGCATGCAGAGCAGGAAAAGATCTTATTAACTGTATTATTACGGGGCTTTGTTGTATAGGAGATAGATATGGTGGTGCATGCGATGCAGCAGCAAGAGATTTTTTATTTAATTATAATAAAGGTATTAGTGCACAAGAATATATAAATAAAAAAAAAAAAAAAATAAATATATAATGGGTATAGGGCATAGAATAAAAAATAAATATAATAATATAGATAAAAGAATAAATATTATCAAGAATTATTGCTATAAATATTTCCCTAATAATAATATACTTAATTATGCATTAAGTATTGAGGAATTATTAATAAAAAAAAAAGATAATTTAATACTAAATATTGATGGTATAATTGGTGTATCTTTTTGTGATTTTCTTCTATCTACTGGTTATTTTAATAAAAAAGAAGCATATAATTATATATTTAATTATAATTGTATTAATTCCTTATTTATATTAGCAAGAATTATTGGTATTATTGCTCATTATATAGATCAACAAACTATACAACAAGGATTATATAGGCATGATCCTCTAGATGTTGCTTATCTTACTAATGTTATACATAATCATATTATTAATAACAATAATAATAATTATAATAATAATAATAATAATAATAATAATATTAATATTAATAATTTAATTAATAATAATTTAATTAATAATAATAATAATAATAATAATCATTGTTCTTCTTGTTGTTGTTCTTGTGGTAAAAAAGGAGGAGGAGAAGGAGGAGGAGCAGCAGTACCCACAGAAGAAGAAGAAGAAGAAGAAGATAGTAATTAGGTACTTTATTTATTTATTTATTTATTTATTTATTTATTTTATTTATTTATTTATTTATTTATTTATTTATTATGTATTTGTTATATAATTAAGGATTTGTTTATATATACATATGTACATATATATATAT